TGAAGCTGAAACTTCACATATTTATTCCCATCAATGATGACAACTTAATTATAGAGGTAGATTCTTATTTTCAATGTGGCTTTGATAACATATTAGAACACGTTCATTTTCAGTAAACATAAAACCCGTGAAGATCCGGGAGAAAATAGGTCTTCAGCAACCCATGCTTGCCGTAAAAGGCGACTATGCTTGTCGTAAGAGGCGACTAACGGTATCGGGTGGTCAGGCTCGCTGACTTGGTTGATACATTTTGCGTAGATCGATGCCCATGATGTTAATAGTTGGATTGTCTGGTCCAGACTCGATTATTTACAGACCGCCGTTATATAGCTGGAATATTGTTGAGTGCGGCGTTAAACAAACAAACGAACAAACAAACAAACAAACCAGTAAACATATAGCAATTAGAGTGAAAATAGGTGTATGTCCCTATTTATGAGAAGGTCAATGGTCAAGGTTACTAGTAAAAGACGCTGTCAACTGTGTATAGTGGCATGTCTTCGAAAAGTATAAATATTTTTATCACGACACTTGATCTGTACCTTGACCCTGCTACGAAAGTATATTTATGAAATACTGGCGAGTGAAATATTATCATACTTTCTGTGGATTGTCTTTAATTTGATGAAAATGTATTCAGGCATAAAATTTTTATCGTTTATGAATGAATTGGAAAATAATGTATTGCACTTGTTCACTATAAGAACATATTCAAGATAAAACCTTGCGTTAAAGGAAATTAACAGTTGTGTATTTCAACAATCCTGTATGATATCGAATGTTTATTGTTGCGAATAAATAAACATGAAGTAAACATGTAAACAGCTTAACTGTTTTCAGATTTGTCCACAACATCTACAATATTTGTATTCCAAAGTAGACAGCATCTTTTAAATGACTCTTCTGACATTCTAGCCGGTTGAATACCTAGCCAGGTGAGCTACCTGTAGATTGTCGTTGCACTGTTATTTTCCCTTTTCAAAGGTAGAATAACTGTCGAGGTCATGTTCAAGTTTAATATTTTGTTCATATTACTCACGAAGTGTTTACTATAGTTGGATGACTATAGTCAACCATTATATCCTATCGGACCGCCTCCGTGATCTAGTGGTAGAGCGTCCGCCCGGAGAGCGGAAGGCCCGGGTTCGATCCCTGACCGCGTCATACTAAAAGTCGTTAAAAAATGGTACTTGGTGTTACCCTGTCTGGCGCTCGGCATTAAGGGGCTAAAACAAGGACTGGTCGGCTCGGAGTCAGTATACTGTGTCTGAGTGGGGTATTCATGTTAAATTGCGGCATGGTATGTCAGTGGGCTAGCACTATAAATCAGCATCAGTACAAGCAGCCTCACACACACAAGCATGCGCGTCGCTATATAAGTGCAATAATCTTGGACGCGACGTTGAACCCCATTTCACCTCACCTCACCATAATAGCCTGTCGTTTTCATGAACACATATGCAATCGCAGACTGTACTTGAGAACTTGCAAGCGATTTCAAAATTTCAGTCTAAGCTGAACGCCTTTTGGATTTGTTAAATGTTAGGATGTCGGCTACGATCAAGGGTATAACATGACTGCATCGTGTTATTTGGAGATACATAACATCTTTAATATAAAACGTCATCCATCTGAGAATAACCTGTCTCATTTATCCGCGAAACAAATTCCTTTTGACGTAAAAGGCGGTGAAAATTGTATGAAGAATCACCGAAAATCAGTGATGACACCACGATGTTCGCGAAAAGAGAAATAACAGCGACAAAACCCTGTCCATATTCATAATACATCCCTGCCAAAAGCATTGTCGATTGTACATGTACGATTCCGACTATATAATGTGTTTGTGAATCACTATCGACCAGCGAGTCGATTGTACATGTACGATTCCGACTATATCATGTGTTTATGAATCACTATCGACCAGCGAGTCGAGTGTACATGTACGATTCCGACTATATCATGTGTTTATGAACCACTATCGACTAGCGAGTCGATTGTACATGTACGATTCCGACTATATCATGTGTTTATGAACCACTATCGACTAGCGAGTCGATTGTACATGTACGATTCCTACTATATCATGTGTTTATGAACCACTATCGACCAGCGAGTCGATTGTACATGTACGATTCCGACTATATCATGTGTCTATGAATCACTATCGACCAGCGAGTCGATTGTACATGTACGATTCCGACTATATCATGTGTTTATGAACCACTATCGACCAGCGAGTCGATTGTACATGTACGATTTCTACAATATATATCATGTGTTTATGAATCACTATCGACCAGCGAGTCGATTGTACATGTACGATTTCTACAATATATATCATGTGTTAATGAATCACTATCGACCAGCGAGTTGATTGTACATGTACGATTTCTACAATATATATCATGTGTTTATGAATCACTATCGACCAGCGAGTCGATTGTACATGTACGATTCCGACTAAATCATGTGTTTGTGAATCACTATCGACCAGCGAGTTGATTGTACATGTACGATTTCTACAATATATATCATGTGTTTATGAATCACTATCGACCAGCGAGTCGATTGTACATGTACGATTTCTACAATATATATCATGTGTTAATGAATCACTATCGACCAGCGAGTTGATTGTACATGTACGATTTCTACAATATATATCATGTGTTTATGAATCACTATCGACCAGCGAGTCGATTGTACATGTACGATTTCTACAATATATATCATGTGTTTATGAATCACTATCGACCAGCGAGTCGATTGTACATGTACGATTTCTACAATATATATCATGTGTTTATGAATCACTATCGACCAGCGAGTCGATTGTACATGTACGATTTCTACAATATATATCATGTGTTTATGAATCACTATCGACCAGCGAGTCGATTGTACATGTACGATTCCGACTAAATCATGTGTTTGTGAATCACTATCGACCAGCGAGTTGATTGTACATGTACGATTTCTACAATATATATCATGTGTTTATGAATCACTATCGACCAGCGAGTCGATTGTACATGTACGATTCCGACTAAATCATGTGTTTATGAACCACCATCGACCAGCGAGTCGATTGTACATGTACGATTCCTACTATATCATGTGTTAATGAATCACTATCGACCAGCGAGTTGATTGTACATGTACGATTCCTACTATATCATGTGTTTATGAATCACTATCGACCAGCGAGTCGATTGTACATGTACGATTTCTACAATATATATCATGTGTTTATGAACCACTATCGACCAGCGAGTTGATTGTACACGTACGATTCCTTCTATATCATGTGTTTATGAATCACTATCGACCAGCGAGTCGATTGTACATGTACGATTTCTACAATATATATCATGTGTTAATGAATCACTATCGACCAGCGAGTTGATTGTACATGTACGATTTCTACAATATATATCATGTGTTTATGAATCACTATCGACCAGTGAGTCGATTGTACATGTACGATTCCGACTATATCATGTGTTTATGAACCACCATCGACCAGCGAGTCGATTGTACATGTACGATTCCGACTATATCATGTGTTTATGAACCACCATCGACCAGCGAGTCGATTGTACATGTACGATTCCTACTATATCATGTGTTTATGAACCACCATCGACCAGCGAGTCGATTGTACATGTACGATTCCTACTATATCATGTGTTAATGAATCACTATCGACCAGCGAGTTGATTGTACATGTACGATTTCTACAATATATATCATGTGTTTATGAATCACTATCGACCAGCGAGTCGATTGTACATGTACGATTCCTACTATATCATGTGTTAATGAATCACTATCGACCAGCGAGTTGATTGTACATGTACGATTTCTACAATATATATCATGTGTTTATGAACCACTATCGACCAGCGAGTAAATTGTACATGTACGATTCCGACTATATCATGTGTTTATGAATCACTTTCGACCAGCGAGTCGATTGTACATGTACGATTCCTACTGTATCATGTGTTTATGAATCACTATCGACCAGCGAGTTGATTGTACATGTACGATTCCTACTATATCATGTGTTTATGAATCACTATCGACCAGCGAGTTGATTGTACATGTACGATTCCTACTATATCATGTGTTTATGAACCACTATCGACCAGCGAGTTGATTGTACATGTACGATTCCTACTATATCATGTGTTTATGAATCACTATCGACCAGCGAGTCGATTGTACATGTACGATTTCTACAATGTATATCATGTGTTTATGAACCACTATCGACCAGCGAGTTGATTGTACATGTACGATTCCTACTATATCATGTGTTTATGAATCACTATCGACCAGCGAGTCGATTGTACATGTACGATTTCTACAATATATATCATGTGTTTATGAATCACTATCGACCAGCGAGTCGATTGTACATGTACGATTCCGACTATATCATGTGTTTATGAACCACTATCGACCAGCGATGATGCCATGTGTTGGCGAATTGTCTTTGAGGCTACTGATGTAAGACAAGGTAAACTTTAAACACATTTTCTTTTTCAGTATACAGACTGTGTTCAACGTTAAAGTTCATTTTATTACATTATTAGAGCTTAAATGTGTGCATTTACATTTGAATTCCCAGTTATAAATGAGTGAGTGATTTGGTTACCTCAAGGCTACTCACCCTGCACGGCCCCAAGTCTCCACATCGATATTGACAATGTTTTGAAATTAAACCAGCTTTACCATATAGCCATGTAATATATAGTTCATAATTTCGAGTTAACTAATTAATAATATTTAATATGAATTTCTGAAAATATTATAAAACAATATATACGTACATTGTATGCGTCAGAAAAATGTGTGCCATGGATTATAAAGTAGCTTTTGCAAATAAATTCTAGAGTTTTATTATAATACTTCAACATTTTGTTTTATAAACAGTATATATTGTCATGTATAAATTATGTTATTTTCATGCATTGAAATATAAAGGCTCCCCCTGTTTGTTCATTCCATACATTTCGCCGGTGAACAGCTCGCTGTAGGTGAGTATTTACATTTCTGTAATAATCACTGACTATAGATACAGATTCATAATGGTTGCAAGGAGATCTAGATAAGTAATAGCATGTGGGTGTCTTCTATATTTGTCGTCAATTTAACAAAACCAAATACTCATTGGAACTTGAGTTTTGTCATTCGATACTCTATACGGGACGGTGGGGTAGCCTTGTGATTAAAGTGTTCGCCAGTCACGTCGGAGACATCAAGTCACGTCAAACCTGTACCCAGGCGTTCCCTCGTCACGCCGAAGACCCGGGTTCGATTCCCCACATAGGTACAATGCGTGAAGCTCATTTCTGGTGTTCCCCGCCGTGATATTGCTGGAATATTGCTAAAAGCGGCGTAAAAACATATTCACTCACTTACTCACTCATAACTTTTCCAGACTATATAATATACTGGAACTTAACACTTTTGTATCCCTGACGTTACAGGCACTCGTGAAGAGTTCACTCACTTTCACTCTCGCGCCATCTGATTCATCAATGCCAACTGATTTTAGTTCTTCCTGAAGTGATATGTTAAATATGATCTACTGGTATCAAATGTTAGTTTTCTTGTATTGTATTTGCTTTGTTAAAATCCATCTGAATATTATCGTTCATATACTATGCATACAGACTATTAATTATTACTGAATTGGAACACAAACGTTGTGGCATGTAGAGAGTTGACTGGTGAAGGTTTGGACATTTTGAATGCAGTGCTAAATTATTTATCATTAGAGGTAAGATGGTCATCTTGATTGCAGTTCCAGATCATGACGATGTCGGTGTTTGTGTGCGCGTTGGCATTGATGACCTTTGTCAATGTTACTACTGCTGCCATGTCTCCCCAAACAGGAAGCGACCTGCGTACTTTCTTGAAAACACTTGCACCTGTGTATGCCAGATATGTTCTTTGCTCCTTGTGCGTAAGTTCCTTTAAATGAACATTGCTAATTTCAAGCCTAACAGGACATTAAACCTGTTAATATCAGTAGTTATTACAAAATGTAATATATTTTACTATCTAGAACAATAACAGGAAATACACCATGTATAGCTATTAGATAGCTATGGGCAGTGCAGAACGAGGCGTGGTTTATTTCAGGATGAGACATTGTCCTATCCTGACGTCATTCGAACATGCGCTCGCAACTTGTTGAGAGGGAAATGACTGTTTGTTAGTTAACGCCGCACTCAGCAATATTTCAGTATATAACGACGGTCTGTAAATAATCGAGTATGGACCAGACAATCCAGCGATTGACATCATGAGCATCGATCCACGCAATTGGGACACAATGCCATGCATCAACCAAGTCGTCGAGCCTCACCCTCTGAATAACGGAACTAACGGTAGTTGCCTCTTACGAAAAACAAAGTCGCCTTTTACGGCAAGTATTGGTTGCTGAAGACCTATTCTACTCCGGGTCTTCACGGGCCTGATGAGTTGTTCCACATAGATGTTCCCGGGCAACGTTTTGGTTTGTTGTTTAACGCCCGCACTCAGCAATATTCCAGCTATATGAGGTCGGTCTGTAAATAAAATCGTGTCTGGATCAGACAATCCAGTGATTGACATCATGAGCATCGATGGGATACGATGACATGCATCAACCAAGTCAGTCGCCTCTTACGAAAAGCATAGTTGCCTTTTAAGGCCATTATTGGTTGCTGAAGACCTATTCAAATCCGGATCTTCACGGGTCTCCCGGGCAACGTAGATAAACCCAACAGCTAGGGAGAGATGACAATCGATATTGGTAGAAAACGGTTCAGATAATCGACGCATAAATTGTGAGAATATCCGGGAAATACAAACGTAACCCCCCTGTTCATAAAATGGACTTGTCCGACATTGCGGAGGTCGGAGTGAGTCATCAGTATTCAAATACGGGTAAATATTTGTAAAGTTTTTACATTTTATTAACATCCTTAAAGAGGCTGTCCATAATGTTGATATCTCATTTGAGAAATAAACGATGTCCATCATGGTTTATTGTACGATAAACAACTCCCACTCGTCGTTTAATTCCTAGATACATATACACCTATCGATGTTAGTGTTAATATATCTATCTGTCTTTATTTTAGGGTGCGCGGTACAATATGTCCAAAAGCCAATGTGACGATGCTTTCAGGAAGACAGCAAACCAGTGGAGCGAAAGGTTCTCGTATTGGTTCACACCTAGTAAGCGGACAGACGCCATACGCAAGGCTCTCACGGTGAAATACAGGACTAAGCCAGGGGATTGGTGCGACCGGAAGTGGGTCAAGAAATATTTCTGAACGAGATGATTGCATTTGTACATCTTGGTTAACAATAAATGCAGATTGAAAAATTGTCGGATTTGTTCTTGCGAACGCCTGGAGTCATCACTTATTTTCATTGATCCATTCACAAATATTTTGCCTTTTATGCCACTAATGCCCAATATGTTTTTTTGGGATTATCAAGATTGGTTATTCTCTGGCGTTAACGTTTTATTTTGACAAGTGTTTGTGAAGGCATATCTGGTTTATGTGTGAGCATGCTGAAACATGCTGACAAGAGTGCTCTGACAGTGGGATGCATTCGTTGCTAAGTAACATACATATGTTACATAGACACATATGTATTATGGTGATTTGTTTGTTTGTTGTTTATCGCCGTACTCAGCCATATTCAAGCTATATGACGGCGGTCTGTAAATAATCGAGTCTGGAACAGACAATCCAGTGATTGACATCATGAGCATCGATCCAGCCAATTGGAATTCGATGACATGCATCAACCAAGTCAGCGAGCCTGACTACCCGATCCCGTTAGTCGCCTCTTATGACAAGCATAGTTGCCTTTTACTGCAAGCATGGGTTGCTGAAGACCTATTCTACCCCGGGTTTTTTGTGAAATAAACCATCATGACAAGGGTACCTTGAAACCAGTGATCGGTTTCGCGGCACCCCATGTCATGGATGCTGCCGAAGAAGGTAAGCACGCGGAGAAGTTTGGCTAACGACAGATCGGTTGGGTCATGTGCTGATTAATTGAGGTCCTCCTAAACACTGATTTAAAATACCTTTCTTGTTTGCAATGTTGATAGATATTTCATTTTGTAATATGGGTTGCTGAAGACCACTATTGCTATTCTACCCCGGATCTTCACGGGTCTCCAACAATACGAGTTTGGTGACATAAATGAGATAAAATACATGTTCATGTAAGTATGGTTTAGGCTTTTTCTTTATACCTACTGGATATGAATCAAGCCTTATATGATGCAATATGTTAGGGACCGGGGGCTGATATGTATATGATATGTGAATGAAGTTCATCTATGCACAATCCGTTTTATATGGTAATGTTGTCAAGGGACATGCTATTTTTTGGAATTTTACCAGCTCTCTTTGAATTTGTATTGATGTCATCACACTGGAGTGTGTTTTTAAAAATACAACTGTTCTTCATTCAAATGCTCTCTCCTATGTAACATTTTTGTCATGCGTTTTTTCCAAATCTGAAATCCAAGATGTTGTCTTGAAACGGTTTTTAAGATAGTCCTGACATTGATGTTGATATAACGTGTAGGCTGATATGGAATTTAGAGTAGGGTCATCACGAATGAGACAAATCAATTTGTTAATCACAAGATCATCTCTAACTTCTGACAGTGCTGTATTCATGTGTTGATGTATTGATACTTGTTTTTAGTCAAGTCACCACACGTATGATATTGTTTATTTCCTGTTTAAACAAGCAAGCAAAGCAGTCAAACATTTCATTATTTTACACAACTATTTTACAACAATGTACCGAATGATATGAATAGCCTCTGCTTTGTTCTGTTGGCGACCTTCTTAATAATGACTCGTTTTATAGTTTTGTCTTTAGTTGAGAATTTTTCCTTGGTATCTCGTTGTCTGTCTTGGTACCATTGGGATGAGTGTGCGTCGGGAGCGTGTTGTACATATTTCCACGAGAAAAAACACTGCTCGTTTGGGTTTGGACCTGTGCCGAACAATGACCTGGTCAATAAACTCTCTCACTTTCATTAATATTTTTCCAAGTAAGTTTCTTCCTCTCCATTCGGATGGAAATAAAATGTTTGGATCGTGAACAGATAAGCCAACACTCAAACATGTATAGTATGGACTGGCCTCCACAAAAATTTTAGGATAATTTTGAATGAGTGCTTTTTTCAAATCCTCTGACTGGCTGTACTTGACCCACCCTGTCGTACAGCGATCGAAAGTGGTATTTCCCTGCGTGGACTTCATCAGTATCAGTTTTTTGGGTCAATGAAACATGATATTGACATCATGAATGGTCAGTAATTGACAATTAAAGGAGAGTGGTCTCGTAAGGCGTCTATACAATATATCTCAACATTTGGTACATATCAAGTTTGGACCCGTGAAGATCCGGGGTAGGATAGGTCTTCAGCAACCTATGTTTGCCGTAAAAGCCGGGTGACTATGCTTGTCGTAAGATGCGACTAACGGGATCGGGTGGTCAGGCTCGCTGACTTAGTAGATGCATGTCATCGTATCCCAATTTCGTGGATCGATGCTCATGACATTAATCACTGGATTGTCTGGTCCAAGCTCGATTATTTACAGATCGCCGTCATATAGCTGGAATATTGCTGAGTGCGGCGTTAAACAACAAACCAAAAAACAACAACTTGTCAAATGTTATTTTACGAACAACGTCACAACTGAGTTCATCCATGTGCGGTGATTTAAACCTCTCACACCTTTACCTAGTCTCTTCTGTTCAAAAAAAAAATAAAGAGTCTAATATTCTATTAGCCGTGTCAACATTAGTCTGTCTTACAGACCCTGATACAAATATATATCAAATACAGCCCATGCAAGTCTATAATGTTTGGCAAGTCTAGATCACTGTAGTCTATGTCAACATCTCCAAAGGTACATGCTTTTCTATAGCGTTCCTGTCAAAGTGTAAAGTCATCGCTTCTCATCTCTTGATGCCACTGCTGTGCAGGATATTCTACATTGGATGAGAAACTCTCTACATCTTCCGCTCGCTATACCACCTTGGGACGTAAAACCATATTTCGACGCAAAACATCGGAAAGTAAAGAATGTACCAAACAACACACATCTAAAATTACTACGCATGAAGATCCGGGGTAGATTAGGTCTTCAGCTGCCCATGCTTGCCGTAATAGGTAACTATGCTTGTCGTAAGAGGCGACTAACGGGATCGGGTGGTCAGGCTCGCTGACTTGGTTGATGCATGTCATCGTATCCCATTTGCTTTAATCGATGCTCATGATGTCAGCCCATACTCGATTTACAGATAGTCGTCATACAGCGGTAATATTGCTGAGCGCGGCGTTAAGAGAGTTACCCCCCTTACACCATTGACAGACAAGACTGTGTGGAACGTGGCCAGTGAATTGTTTGCAAATGTTGCAATAATATAACGAGATTCACTGGGTGGTTATATAGGTAACATATAATAAAAAAAACATATTAGGCCCACCTATTGTTACATTTGTACCCTGAACAAAGTCATCCTGTCACTTCCATAATGGCTTAAATTCCGAGGTTTTGTCAGGCTCCCAAGAGACGAGTCACTCCGACGACACTGGTACACCACGAGGACCCTTGGTGTAAATGTTGAACGTTTAAAACTTGCAGGTGTTTGACTTTATTCGTCTTTCTTAATTTGATTATTTCTGTCTTGACGATAGTCGTGCTTACAAATTGCAAATGAAAAAAGGAACTGTGTTAAAGAATTGAATTTATGAAAGTTTTGTCTTGTTATTTCCTTTCTTACAAATGGGCGTGGAAACGTGACCACATCTTTGGTAAAATGAACCATCATGACAAGGGTACCTTGAAACCAATGATCGGTTTCGCGGCACCCCATGTCATGGATGCTGCCGAAGAAGGTAAGCACGCGCTGTTGTGCTAACGACAGATCGGTTGGGTCATGTGCTGATTAAATGAGGTCCTCCTAAACACTGATTTAAAATAAATTACCTTTCATGTTACAATGTTTATAGATATTTCGTTTTGTAAGATTTGCGTGGTGCTATGCTGAAATCCATTCAATAACATCAAGCAAATCTCACAGAACGAAATGTTTATCTCCTAAATGATGCATACAAATTATACTTATTATAAATTATAATATGTCAAACTGACATATTAAATATATGGGGGAGTATTTCTGTATTTTATACAAACCTATACTCAGATAAACGATGTTCAATAAAGAACCATGACATCCCTGTCTGGTAAGATATCTTTATTTCGGTGTGACTGTCTGAAGCTTTTGTACCGCAAGAAGAAAATGGAACACCTGACCAATAAATTAGATATGATCCGACGAGGTTCGAGGATATCCAGTTGCCGACTTCACTCATAATTGGGGTCCCATGAAGATTCCGGTTTAGAATTGGTCCTCAGCAAACCATACTTGTAAGAGCCGACAAACGGGATTGGATGGCCAGGCTCGTTGACTTGGTTGATGCATGTCATCGTATCCCAGTTGCGCAGTTCGATGCTCATGATGTCAATCACCGGACTGTCTGGTCCAGATTCGATTATTTACAGACTGCCGTCATATAACAATTGTTATATTTTGGGAAAACGCTTTCTGAGTAAAGTACATATTCTCGTTCGGATCCTGGACGGGACTCAACACAAAAAAGTACGAGAGGCTGTACTTTACTATGAAAGTGTTATCCCAAATATAATATATGTTAGATTTAACCTCTACCTATATAGCATTGAGTGCCGTCCTATAGCTGGAATATTGCTGAGTGCGGCGTTTAACAACAAACAAACAAAAACAAACACTAAAGATGGTATTAACCATGAAATCGAAAAATGAGCCCCAAGCAATGAATCGAAGTCATTTGTTGATAATGTATCCGTTCAGAAAGTCACGGTATTACGCTAACATCTTGTCTTGGTAAGCTTTTTGAGAAAAATCTACTAAAAAGATTAGAAACGCGGACATCCCGAAATGCCTGTAATTTTCCCGAAATGTTGCAGTACGTTTAGCTTTAGGAAAGAGCACGGTGCTGTCATGTCGCTATTTACCCCCATTGAATGTGTGCAAAGTTATGTTAACAGGGGATCATGTATAAGTAACGAGAAAGCTTTTGATCGAATATGGCACTCGGGTCTCTTCGTAAAACTCTATCATCTTGGTATTAGAGGCAAAATGTGGTCTCTGTTACATCACTGTTGTACTTCCATGTATGTACTGAACACAACGTTCAGTATAACGGCGAGCAATCTGATGTATTTGCTGTTAGATAAGGTATAGGTCAGGGTAGAGTTATCTCAGCTTGGCTTTTTCTTGTGTTCATAAATGACC